AAGATAAAAAATTTGGGTAAACTAAAGTTTAAAACATCAAATTTAATATTGGTAAAAAAATTAAATTAAATTTTTTTCCATATTTTTATATTTATTCTATTATCACCCAATTAAAATTTTCTATTCAGTTCTTTCACTTAATCTTATTTTTTATGATTTGCAAATTTATTTATTTGTTATTATTTCTGAATGCAAAATACTAATATTATATTTTAAAATTTTTAAAATATTAAATGGTTGAAAGATAGAATATAAATTAAAATTTTCTTTTATAAATTTCTTTCTTATAACATGCACACAAAATAAACTTACATGATTAAAATAATAACAATATATGCAAAAAGTTCATTTGAAGTTTTGGGTGACAAAAAATATCATTTAATTGGTTGAGATAAAGTCCGTAAATCTAAGTTTAATGAGGGCTTGGGCTTTAGGGAAATCCATCTTGTGAATCAAGCCTATATTATGATGGGACCCTGATTTTAGGGAAACTCATCTTGTGAATAAAGCCTATATTATGAAATTATGTTGGAGGATTATTTTCTCTCCAACTGTCCTGTGGGTCCAAGTATTTAGGAGTAAATATAAATTTTCTCTTGAAAAAATATTACTTCTAGTAAGTATCAAAATTGCTCTTATATGTGGAATAACATTCTCTCAATTTGGAAGTCTTTTTATAATGGGTTGAGTTGGGTCCTGGGCGATGGGATGACCATCCGTTTTTGGATGGATAACTAGATTCTTAACAAGCAGTGCCTTAGTCAATCTACTTTGCAATCTTTCCCTGAAAATGAGATGAATGACCTTATGGTGATGTTTGTCCAAAATGGTTGTTGGAACTGGACCAGAATCAAGAATCGTTTTCTTGAATCCATTTGCGAGTTGATTGCTCAAATTAATCCTCTTAATTTGGCAAGGGGTAGGACTTGTTTTTTTGGAAATTTACTGGAAATGGTGTTTTCTCCATTAAATCTATCTATAAATTTATTTTTGTCCCTGATCAGCCTCTAGTCCAGAATCAGAATATTTTTAATCTTGTCTGAAGATGGGTAGGTCTTCCAAACATTAAGCTTTTCGTATGAAAAAGAGTTCATAGTAAACTTTTTACTAATGACGAGAGATGTAATCGTATCATGACTAACTTTGTTGTTTGTGCTATGTGTGATGAAGCTACTGAGACAGTAATTTATGTCCTTAAGAACTGATGTTTTGCTATACTAATTTGAAATCAATTGATTATCCTTGATAGTTAGTTTTTATTTTTCAGTAAAGGATTAACTAATTGGCTGATATTTAATTTATTTGATTCTAGGTTTCCTATGTATCTTCATTAGAATTTATTATTTTGTATTACATTTTAGAGTTTGTGGGACAATAGAAAAAAAGGAGATTTTTCAAAATTCTTCCCTTACTGCTGAGTCCTTGTTGCATAAAATTAATTTTGATTTTGATTTTTTTCTTTGTGGCAGGTCTTCTCATGGGATGGATTCTGGATGGCTGGGACTTGAAAGTTTAAACAAATTTCAACCCTATGGACTTGCAGCTCAAGCCAAATGTTGATGGAGCTGTCTCCTAATCTGCTGGAACTGCTGGTTGTGGAGATCTTATTAGAGATAGTGATAGCGAACTCATTGTTGATTTGTTAGATACGTGTTCTTCCCTTGCTGCAGAACTTTGAGGTGTTTTTGGAGTCTAAAACTTGTTCTTAGTAAAAAAAATTCACCTTATTTAAATTGAATGTGATTCTATGGAGACTATCTCTTTAATTGTTAACTATCAGAATAATAGTCATCCTCTATACTTTATAATTAGTAGGATTAAGGGTTTGTTGAGAGGGCCATGTTCTATGAGAAATCGATCAGAGTATGAATTTGTTAGCTAAATTTGGGGCTCAGGATGATTTATTTTTTCTATATTTTGATAAGACTCCTCCTTCTTTGTTGGTTGAATTTTTTTGATGTCTAGATTCTTAGATATGTGATGTAAGTTTTTGTTTATTTTTAAACTTTTAAGCTTCATTTATTTAAAAAAAAAAGTGATTAAATAGTGTTAAATTATCTATAATATGATATGCTATGAGTTTTGTGAATATAAAATTTTAACAATACATTTATTTTATATTAAGGATTTATTTGTTAAAATAAAAGTCTTCAACCTGAACATAAAAATATTTAAGGTGTCTGATAAAAAACGTTTACATCCTAGTAATCTAAAATATTTCAAGGACTTTAAAGAAGAAAAATAAAAATAAAAACCTACTATCACGTCACGGGTAAAATTCCTAACTCATTTGTGTACCAAATTACCCACTAACTCACGATGAATGGAACTATTTTATAATATATGTTTTTCATTCTTCCAATACCTATGCCTTCAAAATAAACTTTTATGTCGGTATTATATAGATTAACTAATTTACTAGTCCTTAGATGTATTGGTATTTTATTTTAGAATATGTATATATAATATTCCATAAATAAAGAATAAAATATTATATTTTTTAAAATAATTATATATAATAAAACTATTAGCAATATATATAAATATTTTAAATAATAATTTTTTAAAAATTTATTTTTACTTAATTTTACTATTACAAATAGTATGTAACAAAATAATAATGATACAATAAATTTAAATAATTTTAAAATATAAAAAATTCAATTAAATATGGATAAATAATATATATTAATAATTATTAATTTAAAAGATGAGATTATTAAAAGAAAATTTAAATTTAATAAAATATAAAAATTTAAGATATTTTTTTGTAAAAATTGATATTTAGAATATATATATATATATATATATATATAATAAAAAATTAAATAAAAATTTTAATCTCTAAAATTTAGAAAAAAAATTAACAAAGATGTAGGTGAATAAAACATAAAAATATTAATAGTATAACTCACATTCTTCTTAATTAATTTTTAATTTTAAAATATACACGCAACAAACTTTAAAGAAAAATAATTTTAGGAACTTTCACTTCTCAAAAATTATATTTCAATAAAAATTGATAATAAAAAATAATTTTTATAATTTTTTCATAATATGTTCAAATTTTTAAAAAAAGGAAAAAAAGAAAATACTAAAAATTTCTCCTAATTCTCCAAAAATTGAGGGGATTTGAAAGGAGAAAAAGCATTAAAAAATAAAATATTCTATTTTAAAATTTAAAACTCAAAATTATCATATATATATATATATATATTCTCAACAAATCCTTCTTAATATTATTTTCCTTTAATGTGTTTTGCTTTTCCTAGTAACAAGCCTCTCTATTTCTTTTTAATACATCCTCATTTTACTCTCACAAATTGTATATACACAGAGATTAATTTATTAATATCAGGGATTAAATTTATACATGTACAATAATGTCTTTATTTTAGAAAAAGTTGAATTGAAGAATATTAGGTTGACACGTCATTTCTTTAGAAATAAATAAAAATGTAATAATAGAAAAATGGGCATGTGGGAATGATCAATTGACAACTTCCTAATTAGGCAAATCCAGTCTTTTCAATGAAAAATCCAGAGAGAAAAAATGAGACCCGTGTCTGCCTCCAGTCCAGGGAAGAGGCAAATCTTTGACGATAGTGCTTTACAAGTTGCTATTTTCTACAAACACCAAAAACGCAAAATGTTTTTGGAGACATGAAGAGGGACAATAGATTGGCGAGTTAGGAAAAAGCACCAATCCAACAGAGCCATTTGCTTTTCTTCAACTTGAAAATCAATTTTTCAAAGAAATTTGCACCAGTAGACAATAGAGGTTGTCGGGCACAAAACATAAACTCCAGTTCAAATTCCTACCCTCTATTATTCTTACTAAGGAAAATGTTTTTACATACATTTTTCCACACTTGTACCTTAAATGCAAGGTGGAGGATCCTAGTTAATGAGGTGGTGGGGCCCTAATCAGATTCAGGGAAGAAACGCGGGATTAAAAAGGGAAATGAATGAATTTTGGAATGAATACCCTCTGTTTAACTTTTTAAATTGAGTTTCACAAGATCCATACAAGGACAAATAACGTTGTTTTGCATGCATCCTGTGCTCTCTGAACTCGACGGAAAATCCACATTGACATAATGTAACTAGAATAAAGAAAAATATATATTTCTATTAATTTTAATTAATAAATCCTGTAATTAATCATGACAAATCATGGCTTGACAAGAAAATGTCTCAGATTTTGAAAGTACTATGTCATATTATTTAATAAGATAAAAAAATAAATTTAAAACTAAATGTGGTTATAAAGTAAAGAGCATTTGATTTCCTCTTGACCTGAGAAAAAATGGATCCCATTAGTGACCCCCGTATGCACAACTAACAACTAGATACGGAACCATCTTTTTCATCAACTTTCTAGATCCAAACCAAGATTTCACCTCTTTCTGCATGGCTTTAGCACAAGTCGCCTTAATCCTCGTTAATTGGCTATTCCACTTTCCTTTTTAGACTTCTGTTTAACACTATCTAACAAGTCAACTAATTTTCTGAGAAAGGCGAGGATCGGAAGAAACAGAAAGCTCGCAACTTTACCTTCTAAACGTATATAAATAATCAAGTTATTGTATCTCAAGTTTCCAAACCTAACCCGACCCAGAAAATCTCTATGATACGAGAAACAAAATGACTAGGATTATTAACTTTTTCACTTTCCAATAAAAAACACGTTTTCATAAAATTGTGTAGTTTAAATTCATTTATGCATGCATCTCAATTATATTTAATAGCTTAAAATTAATATCAAAATTAATTTTACCCAGCTTTAAATCAACCGAATAACTTCGAATACCCACATAATAAAATCCTCTTCTATCCAAAGTTTACACAATGAATCAGATAATAATTAATACATATCATGCTACAATACTAAAATACTTGAATAAATCAAACATACGGAGCTGATGGCAAGACAAATAAATTAATTGCTCTCTGCATTTTAAGGGTACAATGCAACTGCAATATATAAACCAATAGGATTATTGAGGAGGCCCAATCCCATACCCAGGTAGATCGGGGTAAAGACTCGGGTTGAAAGAAGAAGAACCACCTCTGATATTATTCTGATCAGAGTTACCACTGATGGAAGTGGGTTTGACAGTACTCCACAAAGAGGCATCAGAACTAGTCCTTTGGTTTGTAGCATTATTGAGCAATCTTTGTGACCAATTATGAGAATGAGAATTAACAGCAATGTTACTAGCCACGCTTGATGGAACTGGAATGAAACCTTGTGGTGCACGATACAGAGAGTTCACCCTATCTCTGTTTGCCATCTGATAGAAGCCAGATAGAAGAGGCGAATTAGAAGAACCCGTAACATCACTGGCAGTGAGAGAAGACAAGTACCCACCAAGGCCAAGTTGATAATTCGGGGTAGTGGTTGACTGAACCAAAGTGGGTGGTGGAGAAGGCCTAGTCAACGTTGTCAAATTTGGCTGAGGTTGAGTTTGTGAAATGGAAGATGAAGAAATTTTGGCACGTTTCCCCTTACGGGAAGTGCCACCAATTGGAATGTTCCGGAAGGTTCCACCTTGTGTCCAGTACCTCTTACACGATTTGCAGAAGTGGCGAGGCTGTGACAAGCTATAGTTGTTGAAATAGCAGAACTTTGTGTTCAAAGAATCGCAGCGTGGACATTTCTGATGCTGCTGAGGTTGTTGTGCTGGTGCTGGTGCTGCTCGCTGAGGTTGTCTATTCTTAACACTCCCTTCCCCTTGTTCCATATCTCAGGGTGTGTACTGTAGTGTTTTTTTCTTGTGGATGGGGTTAATTTGCCTAGTATTTATAATATGGTCGGTGGGTTGGATTTGGATTTGGATTTGGATTTGGATAGGAATTAAAATTGTGTTTGTGTTTCAGATTTTGAGAGGTTGTATGAGGCTCTACGTGTCTGTGTTCTGTTGTTGAGATTCTTTTACAGTGTGACCAAAACCGCGGCGATCATTATCATTATTACTTTGTGAATGTTTTACTACCTACCTCGCTCTCCGAACTTTGTCAAAACATTATGAGCATATCTGAAACTAAGTATTGGAATTAATTCTCTAGGATTATTTCATTAAATCTCAGGGGATTCTCTCAATCTACCCTCAATAAATGTTTGGGGACTGAAGTATTTAGTATACCAAATGATAAAGATGAGAAAATAGAAACTTGCTGTTTCTGCCTCTACAAATTTGGGTGATGGGGGATTGATTTGAAACGTGTACAAGGTCCAAAAATGAATAGTCTCAATCTGAGGTGGAGAGAGGGTGAAACTGGATTATGGGTATGGTGAGAGAGAAGCTTGTGAGACTATGATAAAAACAAAATAAATGGGGTGGAGTGTGTGGAGTCCCTTCTCTCACCAACCAAGAGGGCATAAAAATGGAATGAAAATAATGCAAGTGTTGATGTTCTTGAGCTTTGGTGAAGGAACTATAGAAAAGAAAAGGGGAACAAACACCACCTGAAACTTATTTCTCAGAGTTGATCTTTCTCTATCAGTCCTGACTCTGAATAAGGTAACGAGCAGAAAATAATAAAGAGAAGAAAATTAATTCAGCAATATTGTACCGAGGCGGCGGTGCATGTAAGTCGAGAGAAAATGAAAATATGAAATTGATAATTTTGTAATTTTTAAAGTTTTATATTTAATTTATTTATTTTTTTATTTTTTTAATTTCTAATTTATTCAAATACATTTTAAGTTAGTTCTTGCGGTAAATTAATGTTAGTAAAAATTTTAACTTAACATATCATGGCTCAAAAAGATATCTGTAATTTTTAAGACAGTAATTATTAAAATTTACTACTAAATTTACCCAGTTTTTCAAATTCTAAAAAACAATTTTATCTCTCATTTACTTGAATATATTTTTTAATTGATGCGCATCAATTAGTATTAATATATTAAGTTGATTACTTTTACTAAATGTTATTAACGTCTATTAATAATAAAAATTAATGTATATTATTTGAATAATTCAAATGCTAAAATACATTATTTATCAAGTTAAGGATGAAAATTATATAGAGAACGAGGAAGAGAGTAGAGTAAAGTGATAATTTAATTAAAAAAATTAATCACTTAGGATGGATAACGAAACGGAATGATTGGTTTTTCATATAAAATTAATAAATATATTTTTAAAAAATAACTTTAAAGCTAATTGAACTTAAGCTAAAAATAAAAATTTGTATTATATCAAATATATAATAATTTTTTTCAATTATATAGAATCATTCTTCAAAATATTATATTGTGTAAATTGATTAAAAATGTGAAAAAAAATTGTTCATCAAAGAAAAAAAATATGTAAGAAAAGAAAAATTTTACATTTACTTAAAAATATTATGTTCATTGAGACTTAAACTTAAGATTATATGTTAAGACGAAATAACTCTTTACTATTTAAAGATAAAATAGAGATTAAAAAGAATTAAAAAAAACTATTTATTTATTAAAAAGTAATAATGTAAACTAATATTAAAAATGTTATCATTTTAAATTATTTTATTTTATTACAGATTTATGTGAACAATTATAAAAGTGGTTTCAGTTAATTTAAGTAGAGTTTTAGTGTATTAAATTGTATCTATTAAAAAACACTTATGGTCTAAATCAAATTTAAGAATATATATATATATATATATATATATATATATATATATAATTGAGTATCATTTTGTGAAAAGTTTGATGAAATATCGAAAAGCTTCTCAAACACTCTTCTTTATCCTTTTCTATTTTTAGAAATTTTATTCTATTTCATAATTTAGATTTCAAATTTCAAATTATAAAAAAGTAATAATTATGTCCTAATAATGTTATTTATTATTTGTCATTTTTAATATATGTATATTATTTTGACATGATATATTGAAGTCTATTCCAATAATTTACAGAAGAAAAGAAACCCAATAAACACCTAAAAAAATAAATAAAACCTACCACCAAACTCTATTAAAAATTTAAAATAAGTTTTATGTGCTTTGAAATCAGTTTTACATGCTCTAAAATATTGAAGCTTTTCTTGCCTACCATTACAAGAGTTTTATTTCTTTTGTCATCATGTTTGATTATCCTTTATTTTATTACTTCTTCATATTTAGTTTACCCTTCTTCACATTGATTTAACATATTAGGTTCCATCAAAAGACTTTTACTATAGACTTTCCTTTCAATGTTTTTTTGCCTTTTGCTTTCGCAAAGAATCTTTCAAATGAAATCACACGATAACATTACGCATGATTCTTATATTTTTTTTCCCTATAGTATAAATTTGAAATCAATTTTATATACTTTGCAGTCTTGAAGCTCTTTTGCCTACCATTACAAACCTTTGTAGGTGAATAAAAGAAAAGTTAAGCAATGAAGTCAAGTATCATCTGCATTTTGTTTTATCGTGTCTTTATATTTAGTTCTTCCTTATTCACATTTTTTAAAATCAATTTGGTGTGTCTGACTCCATTACTCTTTCTTTCGACATTTACAAACTTTGTAGATAAATAGAAGAAATATTAATCAATGTAAGTTAGGTGTAATTTATATTTTATTTTTTTTATGTATTCATGTTCTGTTTATTCTTTTTCACATTGTAACTGTATAAACACTCTAAAAAATAAATTCTCTCAGCACTGACAGCAAGCTCTCTCAAGTCTTTTTTTTTATTAGTTTTGTTTACTTTGCGACTCTACTATTCTATATCCTTTATGATAAATCCTGCATTTGAATAGAAGGAAAGCTTAAGAAAGCAAACTCAGGTATCATCTCCATTTTTTTTTCTTACACTTTCATATATGGTTCATACTTCTTCTTCCTCTTTCATTTTTTTATTATTTCTTTTTTCTTTTATACGATTTACAGAGCATTATTGTTTTTTTATATTTTAATTGCTTACACACCATTGCTATGCATTTTTCCATTGTTTGACAAGAATAAGCTCAAGTATCATCTCCATTTTTGTTCACCCTTTCTTTTTATTATTATTCATTACTTTGTTTTTTTATATAGAATATTTATATAGTTTTATTTTTTTAATATTTTGATTTCTTGCTTACATACTTTTGTTATGCATTTTTCTACTATTTAGCAAGAATAAACATTAATAAAGATTAATTAACGAAACATAAGTATGACCTTTGTTATACATTTTTTCATTTATTTTCATTTTTTTCATTGTTATGCTTTTTTTATATTTTGATTGCTTACACATATTTGTTATGCATTTTTCTATTGTTTGGCAGAACAAATGTTAATAAAGGTTAACTAATGGAACTTAGTATGACATTTGTTATGCATTTTTTCACTTATTTTCATTTTCTCATTGTTATGTTTTTTTATATTTTGATTGCTTACACATTTTTATTTGTGAATACCCAATTTTATATGGGTCCCTGTCAAAAATAAATTTTAAAACAAAAAATTAAATATAATAATTTCTTTTTTTAAGAGGTTAAGAAAATAGATAAAAAAATTAATTTAAAATTTAAATTCAAATTTTTAATTTTTAAATATAAAATCAGATTTAGAAATGGTCAAAGTAGTTAGTAGATTTTTAGAAAAACGGATAAAAAAGAAAAAAATTAATTATTAGTCATCAGAAAATAAGGAGCCTTTATTAGAATCTAGGGTTTTAGAAAATGCCTATAAATAGGAAGTTTAGGTCTTCAGAAGGGAGACTTTGAGGTAGACACCTTTTATTTTTTACAAAAAAGATACTTTGAGAGTACAGAGAGAAAAAGAAAGATAATTCAAGAGAGAAAACTCAAGAAACGAAGAGAAAGAGGAGATTCAAGAAGAGAAAGAGGAGATTCAAGAGAGAGAACTCGAGAAACAAAGAAAAAGAGGAAAGAACTAAAAAGAAATCAACTGAAAGTTAAAGCATAGTCCTAGAGATCAATTGGAAAGAACATATCTAGAAGGTTGAAGAAAAAGTCAACTTAAAAACTCTGAATCATCACAAATGAGTCAACAAAAATATAATCTACTTCTCTTTATCATTTGGTAAAAACTATTATTTTATTTTTCTTTTATTGTTCCTTTTTTCTTTGACTCATCATATCTTTATGTGTTTTTTCTTTTATTTGTATTAAAAAATTTTCCTTTTACAAAACCTAGTTTATCTAAGTTAAACTTTTCCTTTTCTTATAAACCTACAAAATTTCTAATTTTTCTTTTAACTCTAAAATTTTTCTTTTTGCAAATCCTAATTTTTTTAACATGAAATATTTGTTCGCTTTGTAAAAAAAAAAAAACTAATTTTTTTTCTATCCCAAAAAATCATTCCTTTTGCAAAATTTTAAAGAATTTAATTTTTCTCCAACCACTATTTTTTAATGATAAACCCTCTTGTTTTTTTTTTCGTAAACCTAGAAATTCTAATGTTTTTCTAACCCTAAATTACTTCTCTCTCAGTCAAACCCTAAAAAAAAAATATAAATCCATAAAAATTAATTTTTTTCACTAAATCCAAGTATTACCTTTTTGCAAACCCTAAAAATAAACTATTTTTTTCTAACTATTTTTTTTTTTTTGCAAACCCTAAAAAGAATATTTGTTTTTCAAACCCAAAATCATTCAATTTTTTACAAGGTCTAAAACAAACCATTTTTTTCAATCCTAACAATTTTGTAAATTATAAAAATTTAATTTTTCTAAATCTTAAAAATTCTTTCTTTTCATAAATTCTAAAAACCCTAATTTCTTTGCATATCCTAACCTTTAAAAAAAACTTAATTC